TGGGTGGTGGCAATTTGGGGAAAAATCTGGGAACCTTGAATCTTCAATTTGGTCACTCCGTCTACGCCTTTGAACTCTGCTTTGAGTTGTCAATTGTAATTGTAAAAATCTGGGTATATTGGAGTGGAGCAGGCAGGTCATTTGGGCATCTTTAATTGGGCCGGATTTAAAAAATAAATAAAAATGAAGCCCAACAGCCCAACAGGCAACACCCAAGCGGCCAAGCCAGTGAAGCCACTGAACGTCTGGAATTCTGAAGGGAAAAAAAAAAAAACTGATTTTCCGACGGTCGGCGTGACGGTTCCGGTGAAGCCAGCTAGGGCGGCCGCCCTAGCTGGCCATAAGCTACATCCGTCCTTGATTCTGGCCTACATATTTCTTAACATATCCTAAAAGAGACATTTTTTTGGTCTCATTATTGAGATTATATATAGGATACATCGACAAACAGCTCAATGATATAACTAGACTTGGTATATTTGCATCAAGCAAAGAACTTTGAAGAATTCTAAAATTCAGGGTTTCAATAACGTAGGAAGTTTATATGCATGCATTCTCACTTGTTTATAACTTCCATACTATCATCTATACATATTCATTAGAAACTCAAGTATAAATGGATGCGACTCCTCATGAAAAAAAGAAACGTTCCGTGATTGAAGATTCAAAATTTTGATTTCCCGAAGAGCTGTCTGATCAAGCAGACAAAATGAATTTGCCTTACTGCTTTGTTCAGTTTCTGCTGCCTCAACTATCATATGTACCAAATCCGATTTTTCTTTCAACATTTTCAATAATTCCATCAGGTACTAGTCTTTCTGGGAGTTAATTCAATTATCTAATTGTCCATATGAGGCGCACACGACTAATTGACGATCATTTGGCAGGGAATTAATGGTCGCCGAGGATTACTTTACAATAATTTTTCACTTAAAAAGTAATAGAAAAGTAAGTTATCTATTTTGTACTGTCATTCATATAAATTACAAATGTAAAAACTTGCCCTTCAATTTCGATAATTAAAAGAAAGAGCTTTGGGGCCCGTAGCACAGGCGACAGTGAACGAAGTGACAAAGGTAATAAATTCATATTTAAAACATAGCAAAGTTGGTTGGATAGAGTTATTTCAGAATTAAGCTAAAATGACATAAAATGGGTTACAGAAGCCATGCCAGCATCTCAGATGCGTGGAGCACCTATGTATAAAAAATTCAAAAAAAAAAAGGGCCAGGCCCCTGTGAGTGATTGAGGTTGTCAAAGCGCGTTATCTTTATTTCAGATTCTGTCTGCTTCTATAAATTATTAACTCAAGTCGATAAACACCTTTTATTGAACGGGGGCCGCAGGATGTGGGGTCGGGGGGATGGGGTGGGAATGTTTTTCCGTGAAATGTTGCATTCAGTCCAAAGTTTGATTTTAAATTAATAAGCCTCTGTTTGGTTTCTGCTTTAGTCACTAGATTATAAGTTGATAGGAATAAGTAATGGATAAGTGAATTGTAATTATGAGTTCTATAAAGCTACAGTTTAGTTGTTAAAAAATGTAATTTTAATAGATTTTCATAAAAGTTGATGAAATTGCGGTTAGAAAATTGATAAAATTGTTGATCTAATGAAATATGTGATTGAAAATAAATTTTAAAAGATGAAGGCAAAAAGGGAGCAAAATGTATGGTGAAAACTATTATTTGACATTAAAAAGTAACTTTTTCATAACTAAAAAGGAAACCAAACATATGCTAAGTCAATATTGCTTTTAGTCTTTTTTGTGTGGATACAATTAAGTATTTTAGGCCACTTAAACTTTTGCGGCGTCTTAGCCTAGTTTAACTAATGTCCACGAACAATCAAATCACTTTTTGTTCACAAATTTCATGAAATTCATAAGTACTATCTATTTATTTACTACTTTTTTTTACTATTTATAATCACTTCCCAAAAAAACTTTAATGTAAGCAAAAACTATTAATGTTAGTTACAGGTTTGGACAAAAAAATCGAAAAATCGATCAAACCAATCAAATCGAACCAACTCAAGTCAATTTAAGTTCGTTTGCCATGAATCATTGGTTTGATTTGGTTTTCTTTTAAATAAAACTATAGTGGGTTGATTCTATTATGGCTTGAAGTTTCAAACCGTTAGTCAATTGAACCAACCTAACCAACTTACATTTTTTTTTTAAGAAAAATAAAAATCAAAAGATAAACCTTAATCTCAATACTATATCTCAATTCTTTTCAGTCTATGAAGTTGCCGGTAAATAATAGCACCCAAAATTTTATTTTACAAGCTCATTATATTATATTTAGCATTTTTTCTTGCTCAGGCAATCATACTACGTCATACATAAAATGCAACAAATAAGTTTTTTGTTGATCCGTTTTTGTTAATTTAATTTTATTTGTCAGCCAATAATTCTTGTATTTTAAAATTATTTGGTTATTTTAGTTCTTGTAATTTAAGTGGACACAAAACTCAGACAATTATTTTTAAAAATTAATTCAATTTGAACTAAAAGTCCAAACCGACTAACAGAATCAAATTCAATTTGGCTTGCTTCAATTTGAGAGTTAGATTTAGCAATTTCTAAATTTCGAATTGGCAATTTTTTGATTCAAATTTATGAGTTAATTTATATGTAATTAATGTCAAAATGGGAGTCATTGAGTTGTAATCATAGACAAAATAGTTTGGGGTTGGTAAAGTCCAAAAAGAAGTCAAAGAAATTCAAGAAGAAGATCAAGAAACTAACTTCAAGAAGTAGATCAAGATTTGGGGAGCTTAGTTTGTGCTCTAGTGTCCAAAATAGGAGCACCGACGCTCGACCTCCGAGCACCTAGCGCTCGAGCAGTGTGTCAACTGCTCGCTAGAAGCGAGGTATTTTGCTCGAGCACAGTTCGACGATACAGAATCATGTTTTGATCTTAACGTTGATTTTCAATCCTATTTCACCACAAAACACTTCCCATTATAAATATACATATCATATTTCATTCCAATGAGTATTGAATCATTATTTCATACTAGAGAACATCTTTTGTAGATTCTAAATATATTCCAAAGTTCTATTGATTCAACCCCAAGATCAATTCATTATAATTCACTCCAAAAATCTTATTTTATTAGTTGAGCCACAATCCTCTATATTCAACTCAAAAATCAAAACACAAAAAATTTGAAGATCAAACACAAAAAATCATTACCTTCACCTATAAGCCTTCAGAGTTTTGTAGTAGGAGAAAAGGCACTTCGAATTCCAATACTATGAAACGAGTTCGTTCTTGGTGATCCACACGGAGAGAAAATTAGTCTAGAGTTACTGGAAATTAGGGAAGCCAGTAGCCGTTGGCTCAGCCTCGTAAAAGCCCAAGCTAGCCCGTTGGAACCGAGTAGAGGCTCGGGTCAAGCCTTATTTTCAAGTGTTGGCCTGAACTCAAGTCGACTCGTGTCATGAATTTCATTTGGCTTTAGAAAATGCAGGCACGACTTCTTTTAAAAATAAAGGCTGTTATGATCTTCATTTTTAAAGGCAATTGCAATAGTTAATACTAAAAAAATTAAAATTAAAAAAAAAAAAAAGAGCCAGTTCAGCTTGGCTCGAAAAGCCCGAGCTGAACCACATTTAGCTCGGCTTGGGCCAAAAAAGCTCTATTATTTTTTACTCAAGTTGCACCTGAGCAGCAAACTTAGGCTCCGCTCGACTTATTTACATTCCTACTAGGAAGTGTGGTCGCACAATTGAATGAGTTTCTTTGTAATTTACACATGAGGTAGCTAGAGTCAGTTAATGTTTAGTTGTGTGTGGACTAATTATAAATTAACTTCTTTAGTGGATTATATTAGCAAGTTTGTTCAGAGGTTTTTGATCCTGAGAAGGGTTTTCCTCCATGATCATAAATGGTGTTATTTACTTTACTGCATTTGATCTATATGTTTATGTAATTGTTCAAATTTAGTGTTAATTTAATTAATTACCTTAATCATCTAGAGACAATAAAAGTGACGTTTTGTTTGTTATTGTGTTAATTACATATTTGGATCTAAATATTTATTAACATATCCTAAAAGATAGATTTTTTTCGTCTCATTTTGAGATTATATAGGATACATTGACAAAGAAGCTCAATGATGTAACAAGAATTGGTATATTTGCATCAAAGAAAGATTAGAACTCTTAAAAGGAACTATGGACAACTTTGAAGAATTCTAAAGTTTAGGGTTTCAATAATGTAAGAAGTTTATATGCACGCATTCTCACTTGTTTATAACTTCGATACTATCATCTATATATACTCATTAGAAACTCAAGTACGAATGGATGTAATTCCTCATGAAAAAAATCACCCTTCCGTCGTTGAAGATTAAAAATTTTGATTTCCCGAAGAGCTATCTGATCAAGCATTTCTGCTTGCTCAAATATCACAAGTACCAAATCCCATTTTTCTTTCAACATTTTCAATCTTGCTGCGACTTAACTCAATTATCTAATTGTCCATATGAGGCGCACACGACAAATTGACGATCATTTGGCAGGTAATTAATGGTCACCGAGGATTACTTTAAAGTATTTTTCACTTAAAAGGTAAACGAGAAGTAAGTTATCTAATTTATATTTGCAGAAAAAGTTACATAAGGGTAACTTCACCATTTTTTTTTTTTTTTAAAGTTAGAAATACACCATAATTCTTTTTTCAATACTTAAAATTTTGAAATGCAACAGAATAATGCAGAACTCCAATTTCTCTTAATCTTATATCACATAATCTTATTCCCTAATCAAATAAAGAAAACGAAGGCGCCCTACATGTAATTATTTATTAGTTAAGCCAATTAACAATTCATTGGAAGCATGAGCAACTAGAAGTTGAGCTCACTTTCTATTTTTTTCTTTCATATAAATCATAAACGTAAAAAAAAAAAAAAAATGTTCTTTATTTTCGGTAATTAAGCTCTTGTTTGAGCTCCATTCTTTTGATAAGATTGAATTTTTGAATAGTATATAAGGATAAATTTTGAATTTGCGTGAAATATTATTTTATTGAAAAATATGTAATTGAAATGATGTCAAAATATTATTTAAAAATGTATTTTTGTTTTTAAAGAATGAAGATCAAACATGAGCTAAATGAAAGAGCTTTGATGGCTGACATAGTGATATTCGAATTTTTGAATAGTATATTGATGAGAAATGTGTAGCTAAAAAATAAAAAAAAATTTGAATTCGTGTGTATTGAAGGATGTGTGATTAAAATGATATCAAAATACTATTGCTAAATGAAAGAGCTTTGATGGCTGATGTAGCGATATTCGATAAAACGCCGCAAAGTTGGTTGGACAGTTTTCAATTTCAGTATTCCCTACATTATCGTTATTTCAGATTTTGTCTGCTTCAGTAACTCATTGACTCAAGTCAATAACCACGTTTTCTGAAAAGGTGACACGTTTTTTCATGAAATGTCGCATTCAATCCAAAGTTTGATTTAAAGTAATAAGCCTCTGTTTTGTTTCCGCTTTAGTCACTAAACTATAAGTTGATAGAAATAAGTGAATAGTAATTATGAATTCAATAAAGTTACTGCTTGATTTTGTTAAAAATTATATTTTTAATAGATTTTGAAGTATTTGATGAAATATGTGGCCGAAATGTTGATAAAATTATGCATCTAATGAAATATGTGATTGAAAATAAATTTTAAAAAAATTTAAGGCCATAAAGGAGAAAAAAGCATGGTGAAATCCATTAATTGACATTAAAAGGTAAATTTTTACTAACTAAAAAGGAACCCAAACGTATGCTAAGTCAATAATACTTTTGAGTCATTTTCGTGTGAATACATTGTTAAGTAGTTTTGATATTAATTATACATAAAATGATAACTAAGTATTTTAGGCCACTTGACCTTGTGTGGCGTCTTATCCTAGTTTGGCTAATGAATATAAACATTCACACTACTTTTTATTGACAAATTTCGTGGGATTCATAAGTACTATCTTTTTATTTACCACTCATTTTTTTTATTTATAAACATTTCCAAATAAGCTTTTAATCTTACACTTTAATAATTAAATTTTTTTAATGATACTTAAGTCAAAATCAATAATTAATTTTAATCACACATTTTATGGGATTCACAACTTTTCATTCACAAATTTTATCAATTTTATCAAAATCTACTAAAATCCCCACAAAACAGAGGCACCATAATAAAAGTACACTTTAAAGGATCAAATTAAATAAAATAAAGTTAGAGGACTAAATAAAACTTGGCTTGAGTCAGAATGATCTACAGTGTTTAACTGGACCAGAAATTATAGAAAAATCTTAAGTCAGTGAACAAGATCTAAAGCTGGCCCCACAATGGAGGAACCTGAGTATAAAACATAAGGTTTTGTGGAGTGTGTGTTGTGCTAAAATTGCAGTTGGGAGATCAGTTGTGAAGATGATGGAGCTGCCCACGTCGCGATTCCAGGATAGAAACGGTGAGTGATGGGAATTGTTGAGTTCCATGTGTGCTGATAATTGGTATTTACTTTTGCTTGTAATGAGAATGAAGATTTATGTAAGCATCCATGTTCCGCAGTTTTGGATGGACCAAGCGACCGGTTACAAGAAGTGAATGACGCATTAGTTCATGGCAAATGGAATGTTGTTCGGAGATTCGTCAATTGTTATAAGGAAGAAGCATTCAGATTCAGGCCTGAATTTGGAGATACAGCACTCTCCGTGGCCATTAAGAGAGGACGGGTATTTCTTTATCTCGAAGCTGGTTGAATTGACGCCGCCAGGCTTACTGACTCAGACGGATAACTCCGGCGATACTGCTCTTCATGCGGCGGCAGAGCTTGGAAATGTCAAAACAGCTGACCTGCTCGTGAACAAAAAACAAGAATTGCTGAGTTTTTCCAACAACAAAGGATTGTTACCAATTCAAGTTGCTGCAAATCGAGATCATAGAGAGATGACTTCCTACTTGTTAAGTTTCGGCATGAGAGATGAAATTTATTATAATCTACTCAAAGGTGCAGCTGGTCTGAATGTTTTGCGATCTTTAATAAATGCAAGATATTTTGGTGAGTACTTAAAGTTATATTGCTCAAGAAAGATCTATATAGATACACTTGGTTGGATAACATCCCACCAGACATGGCGCTGGCGGGAACGAAAAACACGAGATAGAAACTCGCTGGAAAGATAAAAATACAAAGGAGGAGAATATTTTATAAACTGGGAGAACGACAAAATAAATATTTTTATTCTCACTTTCACAACTTCTCCCTAGAAAGTTCAACGTAAACTTCTACTTTCTCAGTTTCTCTCGCCTTATTTTCTTCCCTATACACTGACAATCTCTTTGAACATACAATGCCAGTAGATTTCACTGCCTGTGCAGGAGTGCCACCCTCCTTGACAGACTCTTCAATTCTTTTCTCTGCTGGTTATTGCATTGATTTCTAACAACTTCAATTTCTTTGGCATGGTTAGTTCGTTAAATACAATATTTTATATCAATCGTCCTCTAATTCTTTGGTATGTTTAACTTTGACCCTTAATTTTAATGGAACATATTAGCTTCGCAAACAAAACGTTACTAAAATAATCTTGAAATCCTTCTGGGATAAAAATTGTTTAAACTGATAGTGTTCTTGCTGAAATTGTAGATTTGGCTCTCGATTTGATTAAATTCAACCCAAAATCAATCGAACACCTACGATTTACGTTGGAGCTGATGGCTGACGACACTTCTGCTTTCCGAAGTGGAACATATTGTTAGTCTCCCTTACACACACTTATTCATTATCAAGTATCATTGTTAGTGTACTATTTTTATTCACTAAACTAGTGTTGTATCATTCGACATTTTGAGTACTTTTTAATTACAGCCATTGGGTTTAACCTGGAGATTCCACAAACTCCGATTTGGTCGTGATCCATAGATGGTATCTCATCCTTCTTGCCACTTATTAGAGTATAAACATAAATACTATCAGATTGATCTACAACATGACCACACCAAGATAGAACATAATCATCCAATAAAATAGATCTCCTCTCTTTGAGGGTGTGTGATGTGGACTTCTAGAGGAGGCTCTTGAGTTTGAGCATAATATTTATAATAAATTTATGTGAGACTCAGCAATAAATAGATTATTTCCAAGCCCTTTAATATTTATGTTGGCATGAGTCATTAAAATCACAAGAAAATAGAAACCTTAGCTGTATGCTTGTATCAAATCCCTTAATTCAAGGATCCACCATGAGTTCAGCCGTGTATAGTGTATAGGCTAAGAATAGGTCTTGAAATAATTCCTTCTTGTATCTCTATATTCTGTAAACATTTCAAAGGAAAATATATGACAATTTATAAGAAAATTCACTCTATGACATGGTATCAGAGCATGGTCTTGGGCTTCCTGTGAACTGACAGAGAAAGGGAACCCAAACAACTTGGAATCCATGGCTGACTCCACTGATTTGGTACAGCCACCAAACACCTCCATTGATTCAATTCTTGACAACCTTACGACCAAAATGACAAAGGTCCAGACCACATCACAATTGTTGATCACCGATTCCCCTATTGTACCGATTAGCATTAAGTTGGATGGATCCAATTATGCTATATGGTCCCAGGTGGCTGAGACGTACATCTCAGGCAAGGACAAACTAGGATATATTAATGGAGACTTTCCTCAACCTTTTGAAATAGATCCGACATTTCGTAAATGGCGTACCAAGAATGTGATAGGGAAAGGATGGCTAATAAACTCAATGGACCCGTCTCTGGTTGTGAATTTCATCCGCTTCCCAACGGCCAAATAGCTTTGGGACTCCATTGCTACTACATATTTTGATGGAACTGATACTTCACAAGTTTATGACCTCTAGCATAGGGTAACTCGGATGTGGCAGGGAGGAGGATCAATTGAAAAATACTACAACGATTTACAAGGGCTGTGGCGTGAGATAGACTTTCGACGTCCTAATCCCATGGAGTGTGCAACAGATATACAAAAATACAATTCCTTACTACAGGAGGAAAGAGTCTACATTTTCCTAGATGGATTAGATGATCGACTCGATAACATTCAAAGCGATGTACTCCAACTGAAACCATTTCCCACAATCGAGCAGGCTTACACACACGTTCGAAGGGAGGACACTCGCTAGGTTGTGATGACATCTGGGACAAAGATTATAACCAGCGGTGCTGTTATGGCCACTAAAAGCTCGAAACTTGGCCAACAACCAAAGTTGGTGACTGGGAAACACAACTCATTTTCCAAGTTGAAGGGTCCATCCGATGGAGAAAAATGTACACACTATGGAAATACCAAACACACTCGCAATACCTGTTTCAAGTTGCATGGGTATCCCGAGTGGAGGCATCAGCTGCAAGCTAGGAAAAAAAGAGACACCACAACACTTGAGGAAGGCACTGCAAAGCTGCTGTAGTCACAGTTGGGTCTCAACTCTCGCTTATCCCTTTGACTGATTCTTCCACTTCTGTGGACCAAGGTAATCGTGGACAAGTTTTTTGTAGTTCCAATTCATCGGATGCGGGTGCCTGGATTATAGACTCGGGGGCTATAGATCACATGACTTTTGACCTCAAGGACTTCTCACATACAACTCAACCACGGCAGACCTGCATTGCTAATGCAAATGGAGTTGCATATCCAGTCACAGGGGCTGGAAAAGTGCCATTATCACCCTCACTCTCCTTATCCCATACTCTCCTTGTCCCTTCATTATCAAATAAATTAATATCTGTAAGTCAAGCAACTGAGGAACTCAATTGTGTAGTATTGATCTATCCTACCTTTTGTCTTCTCCAGGATGTTCTCAACAAGGAGATTATTGGGCGTGGTACTAAGAGGAGGGGTTATATTACTTAGATGATTTTAGTCGAGGAACAACACATCACGTGCATCATCTGATCAGTAGCAAAGAACGGAAATATAGTTGTGGCATCGTCGCTTGGGGCATCCATCATTCGGTTACTTGAAGCACTTATTTTCGAATTTATTCTTACATTTACATAAAGTTGAGTTTAAATGTGATACTTGCATTTTGGCTAAGAGCCATAGAATTTCCTACCCTGCAAATCTGAATAAAAGTACTGTTCCCTTTGCTTTAATACATTATGATGTTTGGGGACCCTCCCCGAGAATTACTCTATTTGGTCATCGTTGGTTTGTAATTTTTGTGGATGACTGCACTCGAATGACGTGGCTTTACCCTATGAAGACCAAAGATGAGGTGTTTCCAATATTTCAGGCTTTTCATGCAATGATTCGAAACCAATTTTCTGCCAAGATTCAAATTCTTCGGTCAGATAATGGAGGGGAGTTTGCCAATCACCGTTTCCAAGCATACTTCAAGCAGCATGGTTTCCTCCATGAAACCTCATGTTCTCAGACCCCACAACAGAATGGCATCGCCAAACAAAAAATCACCATATCCTGGAGACAACCCGTGCTCTTCTTCTCTGCACACACGTTCCAACACGCCAATGGGGTAGTGTCATGGCTGTAGCTGTATACCTACTCAACCGCATGCCCTCCGAAGTCTTACACTTTAAAAATCCCTTGCAAGTGCTCTCCTCTCATGTTTCTTTACCTACTGTGTTGATGCTCTTGGTTGTGTGGTCTTTGTTCACCTCCACAAAAACCAACGTACCAAGCTTGATCCATGTGATGTCAGATGTTTGTTTTTGGGCTACGGGGTACATAAAAAGGGCTACATATGCTTTGACCCTATTACTAACAAAACATATACCACAATGGATGCCACCTTTCTTGAATCCGAACCATTCTTTTCTCCCATGGTACCCAATTCAGATCTTCAGGGGGAGTCTATGGATGAAGAGCTGAATTGGTTAATGGCAGCTCCTGCTACCGATGACAAGAGACTAATGGGAGAGCATGAAACTGAAGTTGAAGGAACCAGAAATAATGAAACTACAAAGCTGCAGGATTTGAACATAGCTGAAGTTGAGAGTGAAGAAGTTCCTGTTCATGGAAAGTCTATAAACGAAGAAAGTCAAGATCCTCTTCCCTCGATAGTACCCGACTCTCCTATTGAGAACAATCCTGAGGTAAGCTCTCCTACTACACCTCCATATGCTGTTAACTCGAATGCTCCCGTGGAATATGTGTTGCCTTTCAGGCAAAATTGAGGAAAGCCACATAACAGATACTCCCCTGATGAAAAAGAGAGACGGTCTAAATACCCCATTGCAAATTATATGTCCACTCAACATCCATCTGAGCCCATTAAGATTTTCACAGAGACATTATCCTCCTGTCACATTCCAAATAGTGTGGAGGAAGCCTTAGGTGATCCTAAGTGGGCTCAAGCCATACAAGAGGAATTGGAAGCTTTACAGAAAAAGAATATGTGGAGGTTGATACCATTACCTGAAGACAATGGGGTGCAAATGGGTATTTTCAATTAAATACAAAGCTAATGGATCCATTGGCCGATACAAGGCAAGGTTGGTGGCGAAGGGGTTTACACAGACATACGGTATAGATTACACGGAGACTTTCTCACCCGTAGCCAAACTAAATACTGTTAGAGATTTACTATCTCTTGCACCGATTTTAGATTGGCCATTGCTTTAGCTAGACGTAAAGAATGCCTTTCTCCATGGCAATCTTGAAGAAGAAGTCTATATGGATATCCCTCCATGCTATACATCCTCTTCTGGAACCAAGGTTGTATGAAAGTCGGAACGGGCATTATATGAATTGAAACAATCACCTCGGGCATGGTTCGAGCGATTTAGCTTGGCTATGAGAAGGTATGGCTTTGATCAAAGTAATGCGGATCACACTCTCTTCCTAAAGCATCGGTAAGGGAAGGTAGCGGCTCTAATTGTTTACATAGATGACATAATTATTACGGGGAAGATGTCGAAGAAATTTCCAGACTACAAGAGCAATTGTCAGGTGAGTTCGAAATGAAGAATCTGGGTGGACTTAAGTATTTTTTGGGAATAGAGGTGGCAAGGTTACGAAGAGGCATTTTCTTGTCTCAACGAAAGTACGTGCTGGACCTACTGTCGGAGGTGGGGCTCCTAGAGTGCAAGCCAGTAGACACTCCCATAGCTCAAAATCACAAATTCACAGAGTACACAGACCAAATGCCTACAGATAAAGGATGGTACCAAAGATTGGTGGGAAAGCTTATTTATTTGTCACATACTCGCCCTGATATTGCCTATGTCGTAAGTGTTGTGAGCCAATTTATGCATAATCCGAGTGAAGAGCATATGGATGCGGTGATCCGAATGCTTCGCCACTTGAAATCCTCACCAAGAAAGGGGTTGATGTTCTCTAAGAATAATCACTTGAATATTGAAAGGTACACAGACGTGGATTGGGCAGGGAATGTTTTGGACAGAAAATCCACTTTAGGCTACTTTACATTTGTGGGAGGGAATTTAGTTACGTGGAAAAGTAAAAAGCAAAAGGTGGTGGCTCTGTCCAGCGCTGAAACCGAGTTTAGAGGCATGGCAAAAGGGTTGTGTGAACTACTATGGCTTAGAAGGTTACTAATGGAGATTGGCTTTGGTCCTAGCATGGAGATGAACTCGTTTTGTGACAATAAAGCTGCCATTGATATCTCACAAAATCCTGTCCAGCATGATCGAACAAAGCACGTGGAGATAGACAGGCATTTCATTAAGCAGAATCTTGAGGAGAAGATTATTCGATTTCCTTTTGTCAAGTCGGAAGACCGCAGATATACTCACAAAGGCAATTTCTAACAAGAACTTTAATGACTCCCTTGACAAATTGGGCATTAGAGACATTTATGCACCAACTTGAGGGGGAGTGTTGGCGTGAGTCATTAAAATCACAAGCAAATAGAAACCTTAGCTGTATGCTTGTATCAAATCCCTTAATTCAAGGATCCACCATGAGTTCAGCCATGTATAGTGTATAGGCTAAGAATAGGTCTTGAAATAATTCCTTCTTGTATCTATATATTCTGTAAATGTTTCAAAGGAAAATATATGACAATTTATAAGAAAATTTACTCTAGGACAATTTATGCCTTTTTCAATGTTTTAAACGTGTTCTTCATAAACGATGGAAGTGATGTGTGAACTGATGAGAACCTTGTATATCAAATGTTGTAGTGATTTACAGGGTTTGCGCAATTTTTCATTTAACATAAGAGAAGAAGAAAAAGCTGCATTCTTTTTTTTAATTGTTCGTTTTTTTTTTTTTTGGTTCTACAATGAACAATTAAAAAAAAAAATCAGAGGATTTATTTATTTATTTATTTTTTATTCGTCAAAACTATCTACAAAAAGAATTAAATGGAAAAACTTCACCCTTGTCGAGTAATAGTGAATGGTCAAATGGTTCAACCAATGTATATTAATGCTAATTGGGATGCCAAATAGTGTGCAAAATGAGGGCATGACCAAATACCAAATTCTTCTCCTAAACTGCATAGGTGCTCCAAGAATCAATTTTCAAGAGGAAAGTACTTACAATTACCTTAATAGATATTCAGCATAGCAATCCTAGTATATATTCCACTGCAAAATTTCCGAGGCACGTTTCAAGTTCCAATACTAATAATCAGTCCATGTTTAGCAAGAGTTTACTTTTCAAAGTCTGAAAGCTTGGTTTGCTTTTCTTTTGCAGCGTGCCCAGAGACACCAGGAAGACTATGGAAAATGCTTGAAGTTCTAGGTAAGAAATATGCTCTGGCAATCAATTAACATACAAAGAAATAGATTATTTAGGTGTGAACTAATGTGATTTCTTGCAACCTCAGTACAACCTATGAAGAGAATTCGTCAGAAAAAATTGAAGCATTATCAAGCACTTCAGCTAGTCAAATTCATATGCTCACATGTTAAAAATTTGGGAAATGAGTCAAATGACGTAGCTTCCTCAATATTTAAGGGGCCATTTCTTTTAGCGGCACAGAATGGAGTAGAAGAGATTGTCGCTGAAATTCTAGATTCTTTTCCTGCCTCGATAGATTTTACAGATGAAGAAGAGAAGCATTCAGTATTTCATCTTGCTGTAATATACCGTCGTGAAAAGGTTCTTAAGGTTCTTCTAGAGAAGAATGTTGGAAGGGATAAGATGTTCTTAACTGATCGTCGGAATAACAATATATTGCATTTGGCGGGATACAGACCCGCTATAGACTTACCGGATCATAATCGTGGAGCGATTTTTCAAATGCAGCATGAACTCAAGTGGTTTAAGGTAATTATATTCTTAGTTTTCTCATTTTTAAGCTCCGGCTGGAAAGAATTGCTTTTTAATGGGTCCACTTACAATTTGAAAGCAGTAAAATTCAGATAAAACGGAGATTTTTAGATTTTTTTTTCTTTTCATTTTTTTTTTTTTTTTTTGGGAACATTTCCGGTCTTCATCCAGAAAATGCATTCACCTAGAATCATTGATCTGCGATCAATTATTTTCTGTTTGATGCAGAAAGTGGAGAGTCTTTTAACGCCTAAAGAAATTAAATCAAAGAATCGTGAGAAGAAGACACCACTGGCTATCTTCAATGAACAGCATGCTAAATTGGCTGCAAGCGAAATACAATGGACTACAGGAATGGCTTCTGCATGCTCAGTTGTAGCATCACTCATTGTTACAGTGGCATTTGCTGCTGCAATCACCGTTCCTGGAGGGAACGACAGTGATGGCCTCCCCATTCTCTCTAACCAGATGCCCTTCTTAGTCTTTGCCATTTCAGATTCTCTTGCACTTGTCTCATCTGTTACTAGTGTTCTATCCTTCTTATCCATTTTTACATCCCGCTATGGGTTTAATGATTTTCTTAATACCTTGCCCAACAGATTGGTAGTCGGCCTAGTTTCCTTGTTCTTCTCCGTAACATATCTAATGTTTGCCTTTAGTTCTACTGTCTTTCTTGTGTTTGCTAAGAAGAATCCTCTGATTCTCATACCAATAATCACTATTGCTTCTGTACCAGTCATTTTCTTTATCAAACTGCAGCTTCCTCCCCTCCTCAATATGGTCAACTCCACCTACGGTCCAAGCATTTTTGGTCAGTAGATATTTCGCTGCAAATTAGCACTTAATTAAGATATTTAAATCTATTTTGAGTGTAAGTCTGGGTGAATAAATATCAGTTGTTTTAATTTAGTTGTGTAGTTTGATGAGTCTGTTTGGAGTTTGACTGTGTCAATTTGAATTCTGTATTTTCCTTTCTTCTGGCATTGTATGACTGTTGTACAATATTTTCAGATCGATGAAATAAAATTATTTCTCAGTATTCATCTTCTCTACATCTCTGCAGTAGCCATATCAGTAATGCACCTTTTTATGTTCCATTTCCAAACAAAGCCAAGAAGGCAATGCTTTTAAGAAAAAGATAAAAAAGAAATCAAATTGTGAAAACAGAATTACAAATATAAATTCTCGAAGAACTTGCAAATGTCCTTGCAGAATTAACAGAAAATGATATTTTAACTACCCTGGTATGAGTTCATAAATATTTTTTGACAACTCGTTTCCAAATTTAATCCTATGTCAATGTCTTTGTGTATGTATCCAAAAGCATCACCTACATAACAAATGTCCCGAAAAAATACTTAGAGGTAAATAAATAAATTTTAAATTAAATCCCTTTTTTGTTAATCAAAGTTAATAAAGAAGTCACTTGGGACAATTTGTAAAGCTTTTGTTAAAAAGATGGTCAAACTTCATTTTTAACTATACATTTCATTAGACTCATAATTTGTTTTTCTTCTCTGTCATTACACATTTGATAAGACCCACCAATTTTTATCAACTTTTAACAACAATACGCAAGCTATTATTTTGATACAAACTGAATTACTTTAAAAAATAGTCAATCAAAGTTAATATGTTATACAAACAATCACGACCTATCTCATAAGCATATTCAGTGTACCAGAATCTCTATGCACCAACATTAAATCTCGAACGATGCTGGCTCAACCAATGGAAGACGTAAAATAACTTGAATTAAATGGGATCGCATGTGACTTCAAAAAGGATTGGGTAGTCTGGTGTTACGAGACAGTGGTCCATTCAATCAAGCATTAGGGGTGAAAGCAAGTTTGGAACTTAGCCTCCGTTTAGCCCGCATTCTCCTTCTCATTCTTTTTCTCATTCTTATTTTCAACCACACAATCTTCCATAAAATAATATTACACGCAAATAAAAAACTTTTAATTCTTTTTCAGCCACACATTTTTCAAAAAAATATCATTCCACCCATTAAAATTTGGAAAGAATAGGGACCAAACGGGAAATTAATCTGCAACAACAACTCACTAGTTGTCTGTGTTGGAATTAATGGTTTAGTATATACGTTTTATGTTGGATATATGGTTTACATGCCAGGAGATGGAGAAGAATTGAATAACAATATGAAGAAACAAAAAGGAACAACAATAGAAATTGAATGGAGATTCAAACACGTGATCGTTGTTCTTAAACGATATTTGCCACCTATCGGATTGAACTTGATGCTTAAAGGACTCTTGGCAAATGGTTTAAAAGACTTATCAAGCCTTGAAAAGGATTAACAACTAAACATTTAGTAAAATCCTTCAAAACTTAAGAACACAAAGAAGAAATTGAATATGATAGAGAGAAAGCTTTGATTATTTTGTCGAATGAAGATTTTTTTTATCACAAGTGATTTTCAAATGTTTCTACATTATTTGTATTGATCATCAATCTCCTATTTATAGGCATCAATCAGTGCAACACGAAATGGTGCCAAAACACACGAAAGGCCACTAGAAATTCAAACAAATACGGTTCTTAACGGATATTGAAATGTTCTATGCAGGTGCATAGAACAAACCTATGCGGCCGCATAGATCATTTAATGGCCTTGCAAATCACCATGTGACCGCAAGACTTTCTGGCGTATGCAGTCGCATAGGCCAACATTTCGACCTCCAATTCTATTTTTCATTCCACACACTTTTATTGATTTTGAATAACAATTTCAACAATCTTTCACTTGTTCAATATTCAATAAAATCTCATATTCAAAATATACAATACTTATGTATAAGGATTAGATATCTTTCGATTTTATTCTAACCATAGTGTAATTCAAACAGAGTAAAGTCGAAATTAAAGGTAACGTTGAAGCTTTGAACCAGTTATTCCATGTGACAATACCGATAAGAATACATACACACAAGTATCACGCAATCTCAAGTTCTTCAATCTCCCTTTGCACTAATATGACCTTGTGCTCATCCTTTTCAACAACCTTTTAAGAGAGAAACTCTAACTCTCTATTGAGGTGACATCACCTTGAAATTTATTTATACGAAATTTTTTCAGTATCTTTGTTATTTTTTAGAGATACTTGTACTTAATACTAAACTTCTTTAAGAGCTTATATCTCAATTCTCATTTCAATAAAAACCAAAACTATTCCATTACAATAGGGTTATCGCAAATTTTATAATGCTAAAACTATCCACATATCGAATGACTTGCTGTTACCTTTTGAACCTAGAATTACTTGTTTAGTATTGACAGGTATGGTTGCCATCATTGATGGACCTTTTAGTTCAAGAGTTTCAACCACATCCTACTTGAAGTAGGCGTTGCTAAATCTCTATTTAGAGTTTTAGTTAAAAGGACTAGCTAAGTTCTCGATTGACTTAACGTAATTTAGGAAAATTATTCCATTCTTAATTAATTTCCTCATACTGTCATGTCTTAGACTCATATGTCTAGACTTTATGTTATATACCTCGTTATATGCTTTTGCTAGTGTGGCTTGACTATCACACATAAGTATTGAAGATGTGTTCTTTGGTCCCAAGGTGTCTCATAAAGTAGATCCTTAAGCCACTCAACTTCTTTCCCAGTTTCTGATAATACTACAAATTCAGATTTCATTATTAAGTTTTGTCAATTTTGTATCCACAAGTGTAATGATCGTATCAAGTAATAAAGTGGACCTAAGCGTCTCGATTGTCGTTTTCACAATGACCATACTTTAGCACTTAATTTAATTTTTCTTAACAATATTCAATGAAAGCAGATAAAAAATTTGTATTGTTTGATTTTTAATCCAAATACCTCAAAACAAGTAGATGTACACACGATTGGTTTAGAAATCTAACAATGAACAGATGTTGGGGTAGAATAATTTCATCCATTTTGAGACCCTTTACATCTTTTATTTAAGATTCTTGTTCTTTATTTGTTTGTGTTGATTTTATTATGAGTTTAATTCATTAAATTACTTGATTACTTATTTGATGATTTTATGAATCTTTTACAAATCAAGAGGTGAGTTTAGGATTTAAACCATATAGTAAAATCTAGTAAATTGGTACGACGTGTAGAAATATCTGTACTAATTATTGTGGTCATAATTAAATTTTTAAACCAAAGAACTCGTTTAACTAAACTTGATTCACATAGAGATATGCAATTGAGTTAGCTAAATATAGGCTTAATGAGAACTCGAGAGGGTAAATTGAATACAATAGGCAATTGCTCTTCTATCATTCTTTATGAGTTTTAAACTTAGATCAAGAGAGGTACTAAATTCTTTTGTGTTCAAATGTTTGCACTTATTTATCATATTCTCGATATAATGTGATTGACTTAAATGGTAACCCCCATTGGTAACTTTGATACCTAAAATAATATCCACTTGTCCAAGATCCTTCATTTTGAATATGGAAGATGGAAACTTTTTAGTTTTTTCTATTCCATTCATGTGATTACTCATAATCAACATGTTATCAGCATATAAGAAAATAAATATAACATGATTATCACATAATTTGGAGTACAAATATTTATCTACACTATTATGCTTGAAACCAAATGAAGCAATAGCTAAGTCAAAATTTTCATGCCATTTTTTAGATATTTGTTTTAAACCTTATAATGATTTTACAAATTTGCACACCTATGTTCATTTTCAAATAGAGCAAACCCTTCGGTTTGTTCCATATAAGCCTCCTCATCGAGATGTCCATTCAAGAATGTCATCTTGACATCCATTTGATTAACATGTAAGTTATATATGGAAGCCAATGCGAATAATATCTTAATTGATGTTATTCTAGCCACCGATGTATAACTTTCAAAAGAGTCTAGTCTTTTCCTTTGTCGATAACCTTTGGCTACTAGTCTAGCCTTAAAGGTGTTGAGAGAGTCATCAACATTATACTTTCTTCTAAACATCCATTTACATTCAATAGGTTGGAATTCTGGTGGTAAATCAACAAATTTTCATGTATCATTTGACATAATTGAATCTATTTCATCGTTAATTGCAACTTTTCAAAGAGACGCTATCACAAGAAGCCATAGCTAAATTTTGGAATCGATTTCTACTTGCAGAACAAAATGAGTTGTTCTTACAACATTCTTTTCATTTCTATCTACTAAGTAAAGAGAAGTAAATCGAGAGTCAATTTCATTTGGTCCCAAAGATTTCTTAAGTCGAGTTCTTTTGCTTCTTCGAGGTTTACTAAATTGATGAACATCTCTAGAAGATGTTTCATCATGTATCCCTCTAGAGCTTGAGATCTTTTCAAGAGTTTCCCTTAATTTATTATTCGAAGACAGTAAATTCTTAAAGAACTCTACATCGTTGGATTCAATAATCACATTGGTCTCCAAATTTAATAGTCGATATGATTTACAATTACTAACATATCCAACACAATCACATTTGATGCCTCTTGGACCCAACTTGGTCCTATTAGGGTTTGTGTTTTTACAATAAATGAGACATCCTACACTTTGAAGTATCCAACATTAGATTTTCTTCCTTTTCATAATTCATAAGGAGAAACCTTTGTAAATTTTGAAGGAATCATAATTAGTATTTTACATGCACTCAACAATGCTTCACCCTGTAAATTAAATGGTAACTTAGCATAAGTTCACATGTCATTTATCATTTCAACTAAAGTTCTATTTTTTCTTTCAGTCAAACCATTTTCTTCGGGTATCCTAGGTCTAGAACATCAATGAATTATGCCTTCTTGTTCACAAAACAAACTAAAATAACTAGAAAAATATTTTTCTCTTCTATTACTTCTTAGAGTTTTTATTTTTTTAATTAAATGACTTTCAACTTCATTCTTATATGTTTTAAGCCTATGAAAGGCTTCACGTTTATGTTTCATTAAGTAAACATAGTTATATTTAGAGCAATCATCTATAAAGGTAATAAAATGCCTATTTTCACATCTAGTTAACATACCATTTAATTTACAAATATCAATATGAATTAATTCTAAAAT